CAGATTGAGAGAGTGAGAAAGGAAGCAGGAAGAGCAATTAGAAAACTTTTGCAGTGGTCCAGGTGAGAGATGGTTTTAGCTCGGAAAAGATGGTGGTGGAGTGAAGAGAAGAGGATAAATACGTGTTTTGGAAGCAAAGCTGACAGATTCGTAGTGTGAGAGAAATCTTGAATGAATTTTAGCTTTTGAGCTGATCAGTGGAGTGGGTAGCCATGCCATTTTACTGAGATGGGAGACTGTCAACATTTTTGTTTTGTTAGGTTTGAGAAGCCTAGTGGGTGATCAAATGGAAATAAGTAACTGGATAAATGTATTACAACTCTGCAAGAGGTTGGGTCACTTTATAAAGGACAACTGTGCCCTGGCTTTTATTTGAGCTGTGACATTAAAAACCTGAGGTTTGTTGACAATTAAGAAAATACCTGTTGGATGCTGTTGTCAGACTTCTGCCTACATTCTGGGCCTCCCAGTTTTAGCTTATTATGTAATCTCCGCCAGCTTCCATTGTCATCGCTACAGCACAGATAATACCATCCTTATGGGATTTTACTGGACATTAAGTCAGATCACATCTGTCAAGTGCTTATGATATCATAAATGCTCACAATTGCACTCACTATCATTAGTAAGTTCTCCTAAGTAAGGAGTAAGGCCTTAGTTAATCTTTAGAAACACTACAAGATATTTGATGTTTTTTCCTTGAGATGAGGAGGAGGTGAAAAGTGAAGAAGGTAGGGTAGGGCCAACTCACAAAAATTAGAATTTGGTCCTATGAGAGTTTAGCTACTAGGAACCAGTAGAGGTTGTTTTTTAAAAGTCGAAACATGGCTAGAGGAAAGTAATTTACATTGTTCTTCAGATATATTTATAAGTATATTTAGCATTTCAGATCTACAGTAAACCACTTCTCTTTCAATTACTCCCATATTCTTGAACTGCTATTGCAGTGTCTATAAATTGCCCATATGGAAGTATCTACTGAGGGTCAGAATGTTATGATACATCATTCATACATGATTCATTCATTCTGTTTTTTAATCCCTAATGATAAGCTAGAAAATCATATTCAATACTAGAGACATATAGTAGTATAAAATACAAAACCCCTTTCTCCTAAAAAACATTAAGCCGAAATATAATTGGGTCTCACCTAGTAAAACGTTGAGAAGTGTGTATAGTTCTATGTGGTACGTTTTTCAGCTGCATTCCCATGACATTCATGTTTACTTATCATTAGAAAAAAAGATCCGCTTCGATGAAACTGCTTTTCTATATGGGTGACCCTTTACTCATTGGGATTTTTGGAAGAGGCAGTGAAGCTAAAACAATAGTTCCCAGGTTCAACTTGTGTACGTAAGAAGGCTCAGGCTCCCTCTGGTGGCGATAATGTCATATTATTTTTATTGAAAAGTATTGATAATGTGGAAGATGCGGTTGTCAGGGTGAATATTCCTAGTGAAACACAAAGCAGAAGTCTGGTGCCTTAGATAAAGATTTAGCATGAAGCCCCTGGAAGTGACTCCTGAGTGATCTTCAGCAGCTGGGTTGCTGGGCTCTGTGGCTTCCTAAACCTTCGTTAATTCTGAGTGGGGGAGAGGGAAAAAGGGGAAGAATCAGATACCTCCTAATTATATCTATTCTGACCTCCCAGGAACATGGTGAGAAATTACGGAGCTATTTGCTAAGTGCTTTGGGTTCTTTAAATAAAGATGTTTTGTAAACTTACAGTTTCTTAGTAACATATCTTCAACTCTAAATTTCCTTTTAGAGCAGTGGTCAGTAGTAAGATCATAAAAATAATAAGTCAAATGCTGCCATATTTGTTATTTTTAGCATAGTAAGGTACACAAATTGTAGTGTATTATATACTCTAGTATAAGATGTCGCATATAGTATAGTGCAGTGTTTCCTAGATAATGTAACTGGAGTGTTTGGAGGTGAGGAAGAAGACTGGGTGCAGGGATGGGGTTTAAACCCTTTGTGGTTTTATGAAGTATCGTTCTTTAGGGTTTTGGAAGAAAGGAAAATGATTTCTAAATGATGTCTCATCAAAGTAATTTCCCTGAAAAATGAATATTAATTTAAAGTGGACTCTTGGTATAAGGCGTGGACGAGGGATGCTTTTGAAAAATATTGGGCTAATATTGGACCACATGTGTATTTTTTTATATATGTCGTACCTATGGACAACTCAAGGTTCTGTTGTTCTTAGGAACTTATTTCAAGAGTTCAAGTAGAACATCCGCATAATTAAGGGCCTGTTAATTAAGAAAAAGAGCTGTTAAAATTCCACAGCTTTCTAAACCCACAAAATGATGTTGAGCTGCAGATAATGGATTCATCCTAGATTATTGATTAAATGTGTGCAGATGTAAGCATAGAAATAGTACATTCCTCATTAGCATGTAGCCTGTGTTTACATTCATTAAATCACAGGTGGTCTAGCAGTAGGATGAAATTAGCATTTTTTTTAGTTTTGGAACTTTTCCCTGCCTTAAAGCTGTTTGAAACTGCTGGCCATTTCAGAACTTAGTTTAGTTAAACATATAACTATTATGGTGCTATAGAATTTAAACATATAGACTAAATTCTGGACTATTTAGGCCCAATATTTATGGCTGGATGGACTGATGTTCTCATTCGAGTTAAGATAACATTTCTGTTAATTCTTCTGAGATAGGAATGAAAGGCATTTCCTGTGGAATTGCAACGATAATAATTTTTTTAAATCATGAAAATAACCTTATGTTTTTTTCTTTTCTGATAATTAAGGTAAGAAATTCTTTTGGCTAAAAAAAAATCAGACATGATAGAAAAGTATAAATATGAAAATAAAATTACCTGCAATTCCAACACTGAGAAATATCCACTGTTATCAGTTTTCACATGTTGTTCATATTCACCATCTCTCACCACTAGGCCTGGTATGGAGGTGGTGGGCGCCGTGTCCGCCTTGCCCCTCATTGTTCTCATTCTCCCTCCCTCTTTCCTCAAAGCCCTCAGCTTTGAATCTCATGCCATAAAATTATACCACTGCTTGTAGTTTTCATCAACTGTACCCTAGGCCACACTTCCTTCATTCTTTTAAGATTTAATCCCTGCCTCAGTGTCATTCTCTCCACCTCTCCATTCTCTCTGTTACAGTATCCACATAATGGATCTTTACAGTAACTTGGCTGCTCAGTTCCTCCACCTTAGCTGCTTTACTTCCAGGTCAGACCTGGTTTTCAAGCTGGGGCAGTTTTGCCCCCCAGGGGACATTTGGCAATGTCTAAAGACTTTTGATTGTCACACTGGGGCAGTGTTACTGGCATCAAGTGGGTAGAGGCCACAGGTGCTATTAATCATCCTACAATGCACAAGACAGCACCCTACGAAAACAAATTATCTGACCCAAAATGTCAGTAGTGCTGAGGCTGAGAAAGCTTGCTCTAACAAAGGTAGCCTCTCTCTTGTGCCTTCCTAAAATAAAGAGCTTCCTAACCTAGGTATTATTTAATACTTTAGCCTATTGAGTGACTTTCTGTGAGTATTCTTGGAGGCAGGAACTATATAGCTGGAGTACAGTTAGAACAGAACTATCTTTCTCTGGGAATGGAATAATAGCTTAGTGCTTTTTAATATTAACACCTTCTCTGGCAGTATCATTTAATGGGTTAACATCTTGTCTGGTGAATCAGACTAGCCAAATGTAGGAAAGGTAGATTCCAGGCAGGAAATCCTTCCAAAGCAGCATTTCTTAAGATTTTTTTTAAGCATACAGTTTTATTCTTAAAATCCACAATATCACATTTTATATGTCTGAGACCAAGGCTTCATCCCTTGTCCTCCATGTTTTGACTCCTTTTGAGTTGACTGCAAAGTATCTACAGACAGATTTTTTTTTCTCCACAAGGGGAAAAACACTTAGTGAATTCAGTTGTTATAATGTAGCTTATTGTATTCTGTGGGCTCAGAAAGCCCTGCCAGAATGCCTCGGTGGTGCCCTTATTAACTGAGAAAAATGAGAGCAATGATAATATCATATGTTGAAAATGATATTGAGCCCAGAAATGCTGACATGTTATGATGTAAAATTCCACAGGACAGAGTATATTGATGGCTTTGTTTAGCTCCAGGCCTTTTAATTGTTAAGGTTTGGGTCCTTTCTTTGGGACTTTATTAGACCTTAGTTCTCTTGAAAGGACTCAGGAAACCTTATTATTTTCTCATTAGGAAAAAAAATCATCCTGTGGCAACACTAGATTTCCAGTATTCGTTGCTATTATGGGGAGTGCGAAGACATGACTGCTGACTTGGGATTTCTCATTCCAGGAAGTTAAAGATAGTGGTATAATTTCTACTAGTCGTTCTTGGAGAAGAAGAGATTTGTGGGATCTATAGTCAGGGATGGAGAAGAGCATATCAAGAGTGACAGCATGAGCCACAGATAGGTCCAGCATTTGTGGGCCCATGCTTTGGCCCCGAAATGCAGCATCAGACGGAACATGAAAGGTGGGTTGGTGGCACATAGTCTGCCAGTCTGGGCTGTCCCACCATTTTCTTTTCCCTTGTGGTTGCTGCTTCTAGGTAGCCATAGATTATGTTGGGACTCTTTCATATTAATAAAATCAGGATGAGTTCTTCTTTTTGCCTTTACTTAGAAATAGTTAGAAGGACGGGAAACAGAAGCCACCCAAATCATTCTTCATTGTAAATTCACCACTGGAGGGTGTGTAGATTTGCTTCTGCAGTTCTAAGCTCTATCATCAAACGAAGCCCTGGTTAGGGCTGGTTTTTATGTGATTTTTCTTAAGTGGTGCTGGCAGATGGATTATCTGGTGTCTTTATACTAACCATCCCTCGTTAGCTCTCCCTGCCCAGTCTTTTCTTGTCTGGTCTCAGCCGGCAAATAAGAACTTCACAGTCTGGAAACAATGTTGTAGCTCTGCTTAAGTTAGTTATTAGATTGTTAGATGAAACACGTTTGAGGAGATGAGTGTTGTTTTCTTTATTTATAGGAGAAGCCCTGATATCCAAGCAAAAGAAGAGTTATGGAAGCATATTCAGTGAGTACTGGGTTATGTTTTTGCTGAGGAAGACTGGCCCTGAGCTGACATCCGTGCCCATCTTCCTCTACTTTTATATGTGGGATGCCTGCCACAGCATGGCTTGCCAAGAGGTGCCATGTCCGCACCTGGGATCCGAACCAGTGAACCCCTAGCCGCCGAAGTGGAATGTTTAAACTTAACCGCTGCACCACCGGGCCGGCCCCCATCCTCATCGTTTTAAAACCCATGTGGTTTTAAGGCATTTATAAGGAAGACCACTGACACCAAAAGGCAGCCTCAGACTGAAGCCTGTCAAATGGTCTTCATTGCCGTCATTATGTGGAACATGGTGCTCACAGTGGGGGTGCCTTAGCATGCCCACAGCCAGTCTACAGGCAGCCCTGATCTCTCCTCTCCTAGGCCATTTAGCCTTGCCTCTAAGTGGGCCTCAGACAGGCCAATATTTTATAAATAAGTACCAAGGACAACAGGTTCAGAAGAAAAAAAGACACCTAGTGCAGGGGATAGGAGCAGATCTTTTGTAGGGAATGGAGGATGGCTGGAGCACCATCTACCTTCTGGAAATAGAAAAACTGGAAGAAAGTAGAAGAGCTAGAGGGAACATTTTCCTCCCATTTTTCCTTGAGTATATTCTAGTTTTTAAATCTTTGTTCCTGGCTTACATTTCTATTAGTTTTACTAACACTGTGTTTTGGGACAAGATTAGAAAAAAATGCACCTGTCAATTTCTCTATTCCAGCATGGCAACTTTAATTTTCTTGCTCTTTCCCTTCTAGAAAGGAACTTGTGGATCCATCTGGATTGTCAGAAGAACAATTAAAAGAGATTCCGTACACTAAGATAGAGTGAGTATGTCTTTGAAAATCTTTTCACCCAAGTTTTATTAGTACTTACAAGTGAGTGATCCATTTTTACTCTTCAGTGGTGTTCCATGCAGTGCTTTCATTTGTCTTGATGTTTTAACTAAAATTGAAAATAACGACAGGGAGAGGGGTAGAGAAGGGTGTATTAAAGCTAATTATTCTCCTTTGTACTTGTATAATCATTGTCATCTCCTATTAACTGCCTATTTGTATGTGGTAGGTACAAATGGGGCTTTCGATGGTTAATGTTAGCTTTAAAATATGGTTTTTTTTTGAGATATTCATTGATTGGCAACAATATTTCTTATTATTTTAACACCAAGAGAATTTGCTGACCATAAAACCCTGTCATATAAGCCCAATCTAAGCCCTGTCCTAGAACTAGGACATTGAACTTGCTTCATGAAAGCCTAATGGGATCCCTGTCATCCTCAGTGTAGGATGCCGCAGCAGAGGACCTATTTACTGTTTTCTGCCCTGCTATTATTGGTTAAGAGAAAGTGAGAGCCCGCTTCATTGCTTTACTTCCCTTCTGTAACCCAGGCCTCCTTCCCTCTCCAGTCAAATTGCAGGTTGGTACACACCCTGCCCACCTCCACCCCCACCCCCTCATCTTTAAGCCAAAGATTGAATTGTTAATGACAGGCTAGTTAGTAGCTAGGACAAAAGCAGCTTTTTCTGGTAGGAATACCATTTTGTCTTCATTGAAGATTTTTTTTCTTCCACACTGCTGGAGAGAACTCAACAATTGGGAATAATTTCATAAATATTTGGTAGTTAAAAAAATATACATATACACATATACATACAAATATTATAAGGAGTTTCACTTTCATGTATGGTCAGGGGAGCAGTTTTCTATTGTAAACTTGTGAAATTTAAGCCATTTGGGCTTTCCAAGCCCAGAGGTATCATGTTATTTTTGAAACTCTCAAAGTCATTATTCCTTTATGGTTTCAATGTTAAAGAAGAACTCCAGATTATCCTGTTCTGACTTCAGGTGTGTTTGTTTCTGTGTTTTTTGTTGCTTGTCCAGGACTCAAGGTGACCCAATCCGCATCAGGCATTCTCATTCGCCACGAAGTTACCGCCAGTATCGCAGGTCCCAGTGTTCAGATGGGGAGCGATCCGTTCTCTCGGAAGTGAAGTAAGTAGGCAAGCCGGAGGACATCATCACCTTCATGGCTCCAGAGAAGCACAGTCCAATAGAACTTTCTGCGATGATGGAAATGTTCTGTATCTATGGTTATTGAGTATTCGAAATGTGGCTACTGTGACTGAGAAACTAAACTTGTAATTTTATGAGTTTAAGATTAAATAGCCATGTGTGGTTAGGGGCTACCATACTGGACAACGCAGATATGGATCATACTGAAGCTGATTTACAGCACTTCCAAGCTATGTGCCGAGGCTTTTAGAAGAAAGGGAAAGAAAAACCCATGAGCTATGGTATTGTGAGTAATGCAGACACATTTGAGGGAGGTTGACAGAAAAGAGTTTCTTTTGATCTGGCGAAGAGTTTCTTTTTGATGGCTTTTCTTTTACTACAGCAAACATCAGATATTACAGTAGTTTGTTTCTTTGTGCTATTTTTCCTTTTGAGGAGAACAGCCATATCTCAGCTTGACACGCTAGGTCCCATATCTTAAATGAATATGTTAACTTAACAGTTATGCATCCATTTGTAAAAACACTACAGTCATGGAAATTCATGCCCTTGGGATTGCTAGTTGGACTGTTAACCATTAAACTCTGAACTAAGGCTCAAAACTTTGATAAACAATCAGTTGGGAGATGGGCTAGCCCAGTGGAGAAAGGTATTAGGCCAGTTTTGTTTGAGTTTTGTTTTGTTTTGTTTATAAAATGTAGAACCTGGCTGTCTGTAGCTCCATAGGTTTATAGAAAAGAATAAATGGCCAATAAATGTTTCTCTAGAAACAAGTCAGAAAGCCATTTATACAACACGGCACGGTAGGAAAAGCACACAGGAGCCATATCTATGTTTTATTCTTGGTTCTTCTATTTATTTGCTGTGATTTGGGGCAAATTACTTAACCTGTCCAACTTAATTTAATTCAAAAACCGTGATTAAATGCCTCTTTGTGTAAAGCACTGTGGTAGGCACTATAAGGAATACAAAGATATATAACACGTGCTTTCCACCCTATTGCTCTCTTCTAACTCAAGCTGTGACTCTAGGTACTGTCGCAATCATTAATTGTAAAACTCGCTCTCCACAGTTCAAAAACAGATCTCGTTCCTCCACTTCCCGTGACCCGTTCTTCCGACGCTCAGGGTTCTGGTGGCTCCACCGTTCATCAGGTTGGTGATGACAAAGTTTTAAGAAGGGGTTGTACTGATGACAGGTTGAAGAAGCACTTTTCTGAAAGTTCTTTTGGGGAGGTATAGTAATGAATCTGACTGCACTCTGAGACTCTGTTTTTTAAAACAACATGTACAAAATGTGGAAGAAGGAAGGAAGGGGTGCGTGATCAAGACAAGGTCCAACCTTGACCGAGTTACATTAGGAGTGAGAGCTAGAGGTAGTGCCAGGTCTAAAATGATATGAGGCTTGGGGCAAAGCCAAGGATAACAAAGATTGTAACATTGTTTGTCACCAGAATAAAGCAAAAATGGCTTCACTAATTAAAAAAAAATACTTTTAGATATTTTTTGAGCCATAGAAACAAGGAGAAAGTGATAGACTCACAGGGGGCAGGTGTTCTATTGTTAACTGGTGGTAGACAGAAGAATTACTCAAGTCCTACTTTATTTCTGTCTTATTATCAAAGAGAATTATTTTTATTCTGGAAACGTTTAAACAGTGTAGTTAAAAGGGAATTTAAGGACACAGCAAAGCTCTGACTGCCTTAACAAATTCAGTGTAACCCTCAGCCAGATTAGATACATAAGGGGAGCGCTGGGGCAAACATTTCAGCAAGGTGTTTGATGCCATCTCTCATGGTATATTTTTTAGTAAGATAGAAGAAGTGTAGGCTTTGTAACATTGCTGGATGAAGTTACATCTGGTTAAATAACCACTCTGAAAATAAAGTTGATGTTTATAATGGACCAGTGTCTACCCATTGTTTGCAGTGCTGTGGTTTTCAGTCTTTTATTGGATCACGGATCTGTTCGAAAAGCAATTATAACTACAGTCTTTTCCCATAAAAATGCATGTAAGCACACACACAGTTCTGTATATAAATTCAGGGAGTTCATGGACAACCTGACTAGGAACCCTGACTCCAGAGCATCCGTCATGCTCTGCCTTTTGTTTGTCCTGATTCATTTTTGTCAATGACTTCTGCAAGAACAGAAAAAGCCTATGCCGATTTAGGTTAGGTTCCCTAGAAACAGATTCTGAGATGGAGACTTGCACAGAGGAAGTTTATTGGAAAGCGCTTTTAGGATCAACACTTGCAGGGGAGTAAAAGGTAGGTTTGGGCAGAGGCAATAAGGGAACTATGTAGTGTAGTCCCAGTAAAGGCATCACTAATCCCATGAGGAACTTGGGAGCTGAGATGGCCCTTCAAATTCATGCCACCAGGAGACAAGGGGGTTGGGCCTTTCCACACTCACTCACCCTAGAGTAGTCACTGGATAAAGGGAGCCCCTGGTGGGGGTGTGGCCTTGAATGGCTCTCTTCAGCTGAGGGCAGTTGCTGGGGAGGGGCTCAGTGTTGAGTTGTACAGCAGCCAACACTCCCAACAGCTGGGAGGAGGAATGCCTCAGTCTGGAATGGAGATCCGGGTGGTTAACCACAGGTTCCATACAATCTGCATGATATTTGATTAGATAAATCTGAGAGATAATAGGTTGTCCAAACAGTTTGTTTCAAGTCAACAGCACTTTTTAAAAATTACATTCGTGATTAGTAGTTTAGACTTTGCATTCAGACTGATCTGCGTTTGTGTCTCCTCCTCCCCACATACCACTTACGTGACTGGGAGCAAAGCGTTTAACTTCTAAGCTTCAATTTGTGTGCAATGTAGATAATAACCTGCCTATTAGGGTGGGTTACTGTGAGGAAGATTAATAAGCACTGTTACTTTTCAGAGCTTTTTTTGGTCTTAAATTTAAGTTGGTTTCAGTACAAATAGGAATTGTACTGTATTTTTGCTTTTCCAGCTACTCTCTAACTAATCACCATCACTTAGGAATCTCAAACATCTTAAATTATACACATTACCTGTTGAAAGAGTAGCTCTCACTTTGCTGCACCCAAGAACAACTCACTTGTTCTGATCAATGGTGCTGAATCTAGGCTTGTCTTCTGATAAGTGGTGCTGAATCTGCCTTGTCTCTGGGGCACCTTTGATTTTGAACTCAACAAATATCTGAGCACATCTCAGGACTGACAGGCACTGGTCTGTGCAGTCAGCAAACTACAGCCCATGGGCTAAGTCTAGCCTGCTGCTTGTTTTTGTACAGGCCAGGAGCTCATAATGTAATGGTTTTTACATTTTTAAAGGGTTGTTTGGGAAAAAAAAAGCCGGGGGGACTATACAACAGAGACAGGAGGTAGTCCACAATCTGACCCTTTACAGAAAATGTTTGCTGACCCCTGGCCTGGACATAGAATATAGAAGTAAACAGGCAAAACAATAAAAAAATTAGGTAAGCATTATGAAGAAACAAAGGCATGCATTAGAAAATCAACAGGTGACCTCACTTTAGGTAGACAGGGTGGTCAGAGGAGGCCATCTTAGAAGGTGACATGTAAACCTGAAACCTCGCAGGCGAGAAGGAGCCAGCCGTGTGAGACCAGGTGGAAGGCTGATGTAAGCAGAGGGAAGAGCATGGGAAGGAATGCTGAGGCTCGAGAGGGTCTGGGTGTTTGAGGAGCTGAGAGGGCACGCGGTCTGAGCACAGTGATTGAGGGGGAAGGAGGGCAGATAATGCAGGGCCTTAGATGCCATGGGAAAAGAGTTTGGGTTTTATTCTATTTTCAGTGCCAAAAGGAAACCACTGATCTTGTTGCCAGGTGGAGAAGGGACTTGAGTGGCACGTGGAAGCAGGAAGGTTGCGTTTCTGGAGTTCTGCCATGGTGCCGGAGTTCTGGCAGTGGCCTGGCCTCCCTACACCTCACCTCGCCTTTTCATGCAGAAGGCTAGTAAAAATAGGGTGGATAAAGGAGTTTGATTCACTTAGTGATTTCCTTGAAGTTTGCAGGCAGAGAGGACAGGTTCAGTCCTAGACAAACTTGCAGGAAGGTAGTGCTTGTTTGGGTAACCTCCCAGCTCTTTTTCTGGTGCTTCTTCTGATATATTAGGTCTCTATTCCCCTGCTAACCCTCATATGTACTGTCCCCTCCTCCTGCTTCCCTGGCTCTCTAGAATCTTCTGTCCCAAACCGATAATGCCTCACGCTCCAAAATCACCTTGGTTCATACTCCCCATGCTCAGCAGAGTTGCTCCATCAGTGGTTCTTTGCATACCAGTAAAACAAATTAAGCCAGTCATAGGAAGAAATGAAAGATAATTTCTTAATGGGTGATTTATTTTCAGCCCAAATGAATCTCACAATAATAGAATTCTGGACAGTGTAGCTCATTAGGTGTGAGGATATGCTATGGGGAAGTAAACATGCTTGTTAGCCACATCTACTGACAGGTTGGGCCGTCTCTAAAAAGAAGTCAGAGCAGGCAAGCTAAGCAGAGGAAGGAACTGTGTGGGACACTGTTAGTGTCCTTCTCAGGGCCTCTACCTGTGGCTGTGGAAGATGTACATGACCCAATTCCAGAAGTCCTGGGTGTGGTGCCCAGGCCCTGGTAGCTAGGCTCCGTGCTTCCCCGTTGTGAGTCCCTCATAGTCTAAGTCCCCCCACCCCAGCTGACAGGGTACTCTAACTCCACGTGATTGTGTTGGAACTAGAAACACAACCCCCTGGGGGCTCCCAGGGCATTGTGTTGTGGGGTTCATTCAGTGACTATTGAAAATATAATCAGGGAAGATTGTAAATTACCCCCAACTTCCCATTCTCTTCATCTCTGTGCCCCTCCTTGGAAAAGTGGGAGGCCTGAGAGCCTGGTTTAGAAATGGCTACAAAGGAAATGACACTTAATTGGGGGAACAGATTGAGATTTATGCCTAATTTTCATGAATAAAATTACGCATGTTAACTGTCAGATTAAGATTTTAAATACATAATCTTCATGTTATCATAGTTGTTAACTATTTAAATAGAAATTTGTTGAACAGCTTTTCGGTATTATGAACCTTTCTATTTTATAACTTGACATCTTAAATGTAAGAAATGTAGTAATTTCTGATTAATAAAATTGGCTTGCTGTATTTTCTTCTCTGAATCTTACTTTCTATATTTTTCAAATATATTTTCTTCTAGAGAAGAAATGGGTCTAAAGATAGCCTGATTGAAGAAAAATCTCAGACATCTACAAGCAGTCTGGCTGGAAAACACACAGCAAAAACCATAAAAACCATCCAAGCTTCACGCCTGAAGATAGAGACTTGATTCCAGTGAAGACAGGCTTGGGACAGGCGAAGGGAAGGGTGTGTGTGCCACCTTTACTTTGAAACTGTGAATTACAACTACTCAGATACCTTGGACCTGCAGAAGTTTCTTCAAAAGAAAACACTGAGTCTGTTGCTTCTTTTTAAGGTTTGACTGCAGCATATTTGTGCCGAAGGGCCTTTTGATTTGGTAACTGGAAGGATAGTGGTCTTGTAAAAACTCCTTCACTTGATGCCATATTTTCTTTCCTGGAAACCCCAAGTATCTTGTGTCCACCACAACCAAGACCAGATGCTTCTGATCAAAGTTCTGGAATCCTCGTCTGCAGCTGGCTAGCTGTGCAATAGTACACCGAAGGGGATGAAAACGTTCTTCCCAATCCTGGGTGGATCTCAGACTGCACAGATGTGTGAAGACTGAGGCTTGCCTTTCAGACTGCAGATATTTTTATTCATATAAATAGGATCTTTGTTAATACTGTATTTTGTGGCATTAAGTTCCACTTGTTATTTACTAATGTAAAAAAGTTTTTGTTTGTAAGTGTTGCTTTTAATTTCTAGTGTCCTTGTCTTGTGCTTTCAGAGAAAAAAAAGCTGTCTGTGGGTTTCAGTTGACCTCAGCTTATAAATTCATGACCCTCAACCTCAAATGGTCCCTCCACCCTGCTTGGCTATGTACTTCTCCCCTATTTCAGACCTTTCCTCTCTGCTGATGACTTTGCAATCTACTTAAAAGGGAAAACAGAAACACTCATGCGGGGTATCTTTTATCTTCCCCTTACCAAACCTCTCCTCGGCTGCCATCAACACTCATCCTTTCCTCCTCCCCCTCCACCTGTACTTCGGAGCCTAGCTCCTTCAGCCTCCCTGCCCCTGCTCTCTCCTGTATTAATATATTCAACCTCTTCCTCCCAGCTAGATCCTTGCCACTTGGTTTTAAACTTTTAAGACTACCATCTAAAATAAACCAACCAACTTTCACAACCATAAATCCCTCTCCAGCTACCATTTCTCTCTCCAATTCTAAATTTCTTGGAAGGATTATCTGTAGCCGGTGTCCTCAGTTCATCTATCTTCACACTGGTCCAAGATGGTTATCTCTTGCCTAGACAACTGTAGTAGCTTCCAATTGGCTCACCTGCATCCCCTTTCTTGCAAATGTAAATTTCTATCACAGACTTTAACACAGCTGTAAGTGTTCTGGCATCTTACCTGTTCAGCCTCTTGTTAACACTCTGAGCTCCCATAGTGGACACCTTACAAGCCTTAAAGCACTCAACTCTTGTCTAAATCAGGGCACTTAGTGGGCAAAGCAACTACAACTGCTGTAAAAGTAGACTTACGGTCATATCCTTTTTCTAGCCCTAGGGCTCTGCATACGCCATTCCCCCAACTTTGCCTTGCAAAAGTGCTACCTACCCTTTAGTCACAAGTCTGCACTCTTAGGTTTCCCTGATTTGGTCAAATCCTATCATGCATGGGATTTGTCTCACAAAGGCAGTTTTACATTTGTGATGACATCTCCAACTGTAAGCTTCCAGAGGGAGCAACCGTGTCTCGCTCACCATTGTGTCCCCAGGTCCTGGTACAGTGCTTTCAATAAATTTTTTCAATGCCTAAACACACTATTTGTTCTTTCCTACAAAGTGAAGGCAAAAAGATATACCAAACTTAAGTTTACAGTCTAGTAAAAAAAAAAAAAAAAAAAAATTGCAGTGACACTGTCAAGCACACCTGTGACCTAGAAACCAACCAGCCCAGTTCTTCATGTATGAGGTACTTCTCCTTGGGCCTAGCATAAGCCTGTAGTTCATCATCTTATTAATCATATTAACCTTAATGGCTGAGATTTAACAATTTTGACGTTGCTGGAGGAGGAGAGAGAAACCCTTCCTTTGATCTTTCAGTGAAATAATGCTATTTTCTGGGAGTTAATCACTTAATACACAAACCTCCAAGAAGCACATTGAATTATTTATTCATAGCCCCACCATTTAAAATGTATATTTATGGACTGTCCAAGGGCAATAATTTCAATACACCTCAGGCTCCTGGAAACTTTAAATGATCCAAGCAACTCCTGTGAAGATCAAATTTTCAAATTCCTCACCGAAGACATCCTAAAAGAAAAAATAAAGCATTCAATTTGACAAGCAAATATTTACCTGTATCACATCTTAAGATCTTGGTAGTAAGCTCAGTACACACTTCTGCATCACATTAAGTTATGCATTTCTGGACTTGGCCTTAAATGTCAACATAAAACATGCCAGAGATTTGGATTTTCAAAAAAAAAAAAAAATTTAGCTACTACACATAGAAACGTATCAAGATTTCAAAAGTAAGCTGAGTAAGGCTATCCCATTTGCAGTTAAAGTCACCCTGTTAGCTACAGATGTAGCAATACTAATATTAATGAACCATTAATACCCAATTTAAATTAAATACCCACTAGAGAAGGCACCCAATCTAGAAAGGTGATAAAACACCCATTACAAATAACTGCTTTGTGACTAAACTTCTCCTTCAATATCACCTACCTTAGGTCAGTCACCGTTGTGCTCCCAGACACTACTTGGCAAGTAGCGGTCTATGCTTCCAGCAGCCATCTTTCACCTTAACAAAAATTAATTAAAACCGGTTTAGAGAAACTACAAACGTTGGTTGACTCAGGATCACTTGTGTAAACACACTAATATAAGACCATAAACTGTTACTTATGCAGCTTCTACACCAAAGATATCAAATTCAAGGGCAGGAAAAAGCTGCCAAGTGTTTAGTTTGCGCCTTTTTTGACACCACATTCACTAGTTTCAAAAGTGAATGGGCAACACAAAGGCTACATGAAAACAGGCTGCGGACGGCTGCATGTGGCACAAAGCTGCTGACCCTCCCTCAACCGGCTGAGAGGAATAATGAACTCATCCCAGCTCGAGATATTCATTTAAGGTTCAAAATCCGACTAAGGAATGAAAATTGAAATACAAAGCGTCTTAAAAAGTTAAAATCTTAAAACTTGGAGACGACTTGTCTTTCTTGCACTAGCATGAAAACTCACCTGCAAAGTTGGTGATACTCATTCGATTTCTGCCAAGTTCTGCGCCTCGAAACGGCTGTCAAGATCTAAACCTGAAAGGCACTTTCCTTGTCCGCCGACGGACGTCACACCGCGGCAGGGCGGGCACGCAGGCAGTCGGACGGTGAGGCCTTTCCCTTGCACACGAGCGAAATCCCCGCTTCTATTAAAAACTCCCCGGCATACAGGGGGTGACCAACAAACTTAAACGCATTCAAACCCATCTCCCTACTTCCCGGCGTGGGGATGCAGGAGCGCAGACGGGGGGCCGCTCCGGGGCCCGCTGAGGTTCCCCGGACAACGTGGCCGCGGCCACACCCGGCCGCTGTCCCCAACGTGTTCAGGGCCCAGAACCTCGGGCCAGCAGGGCCGCCGCGGGCGCGTCCCCAGGCTCGGACGGCGCGAGTCCCTGCCCGGCGTCCTGGCCGTCGGAGGCCCAGCGAGCCCACAAACACTCGCCATCCTTGAACCACGCGCACAGCACGTCCCGACCGGTGCGCGGAGGCAGGAGAGGCCGCACTGCCCTCCCACAATGCTTTTCTACAACTGGAAGGACCCACTGTGCGGAGGGCGCGGGGAGAGCGGACGGTACCATCGGCCGCCGCGCCCTCGCGAGCGCCGCCGTGTGGCGGGAGGGCGAAGTGCCCGGTGATTGGCCGCGCGGCGCGTCTCCAAGGGGAAGAGGAGTGAGGGGCGAGGGTTCGCCGCGCCCCTGGAGTCCTCTCTGCGTTGTGTGACAGTTCTTGTGGCGGAGAAGGAGGTTTCATCGAGTGTGGATACCCACCCACCCTGCCTCCCAGTGTCAAGAGCACATGGTCCGCGCTGAGCTGCGGGTGTAGCCCAAAGGACTTGAGACCTCGTGTTCTGGGGGAGGACAGACAGAGTTCACCGTCTCCAGCTGAGGAAGAGTAAGAGTCTTTCAAAAAATATTTATTGAGTACTTACTATGTTCAAGCTCTGTCCTAAATGCCTGGGAGTCAGGGGTGAATGAGATAGACAAGATTCCTGTCTTAATTCTAGTTGGGCGAGAAGGACACTGAACAGGTAGCATGGACACTTTAAGTCCAGATAGTGTACGTGCCAAGGAGGAAACGAGGGAAACGTGACCGAGCAGCGCTGCCCAATAGAAATATACTGCGAACCACTGTGTCATTTTCAGTTTTCGAAACGCCACGTATAAAAGTAAAAAGAAACTAATTAACATATGTTAAATATCATTTCCACATGTAATCAATATAAAGTTATTAATGATATATTTTGCATTCTTCTATTCCTACCAACCCTTAACAGTCCGTCGTGTAGTGTATACTTCCAGCACATTTCATTCAGACTAGTCACATCTCGAGTGCTCAGCAGCAGGCTTTGGCCAGGGTGGCTGGAGCAGCTTGGGGAGTGCAGAATGGCAGGAGATGCAGCGGAAGAGATGGGCGGATGCAAATCATACAGGACTTTCTATCTGTGGTAAGGTGTCGGGATTTCATGCTGCAATTTTAGAATTGATTAATTATTATCACAGAAATAAAGCAGAGGTGTTAATTGGTTTTCTGCCTGATAACCATAACTCACTGAAGGGACAAGACTGCAGGGAGATAGCTGTATGATAATTCCTTCCGTCTCCTTGCTCCTACAAGTCCTAGCAGAGACTCATCCAGAGACAACATCCCAGTACCTTTCTTTGTTCTTTGAATCTTATTGCTGAAAGAAAGGAAGGAAGGGAGGGAGGGAGAGAAGAAAGGAAGAGGAAGGAAGGAAGGGAAAAAAAGGAAAGAAAAGAAGGAAGAAAGAAAATTCAAGCCCACAGCCCAGTGGTCATCACACAGGGACTAGCTTGAATGATAACATCAACTTGGGGACAATGGAGACATACAGGATTAAGTGTGTAATGATCACAAGAAGGTGAGTAACTCTAAGACCTTCATTAGGAAGTCACTAACATCTGGGGGAGAGAAAGTTTGGGGAAGGAGGACACCTGCAAGACCGTCATTTGAAGACACTGAAGGGTACAGTGTGGGGATTATGACAAACTTCAGTCTTGCCTTTTGCTAGGGAAAGTCAGGGAGAGGAAATTTCCTTGGGTTGGAGCAGCCAGCAGACCTTGGTTTAGATCCAGCTGTAAACCTATTCCCTTAGGTAAGTGACCACCTCTCTGAGCCCAAGCTTCCTCATTTACAGGATAATAGCCATACCCATGTACCACACAGGTTAGTTTAAAGAATTAAGAAGGGTTTGTGGAATCACCTAGCCCTGTATAGTGCATAGTGGCATCCAATAAATGACTCTCATGAGCTAGACTCTTCTTCGTGTTTACCACCACCCCGGATATGGAACCTTCTTGGGCTGAGTTCTTAAGGAGAGGAGAATATGCTGCTGTTTTTCTTTCAATGGCTTGTTATTTTTGCTCCCACCTTGCTCTTTCCTATGTCCCCTTTATATCTCTTCCCTAAACTCTGGATAGTTCAAGAGTAAGTAGAGGGGAGGTGTTTGTTCCAATTATTGGATTAGTGTTGGTGTCAGGAAATCAACTCTGAATTCTTCACCTTCCTGTCTGCTTCACCCTTATACTTCCTGGTAAGGAAAACCCAATAATTAAGAAAAGGAAAGCCAAAAGGGACAGGAGAAAAAGATAAGAGATATTTTCTACCTAGTCTCCCCTCCAACCCTTGCCTGCTAGTGTCAAGACACTTTATAAGGAGGTACAAGCTACATGCAGCGTTAGTACAAACATGGAAGAACCTAGGTTTGCCTGGGTGGCAGGCAGATTAATGATGGCCCAGAGATGGCCATGTCCTAATCCCCAGACCTGTTTCATTACACAGTGAAAGGGGTTTTGCAGATGTGATTAATGTTAGGTACTGTGAGATGAGGAGATAAAATTTGAAAAGAAAGGCAGAAGAGTCAGAGATTCAGCAGAAGAGAGGGCAGAAGAGGGACTCAACCCTCCATTGCTAGCTTTGAAGGTGGAGAAAGAAGATCTTTGAAGCCAAAGAATACAGGCAGCCTCTAGAAGCTGGGAACGGCCCTCAGCTGACAGCCAGCAAGGAACAGGGACTTCATTCTACGACTGCATGGAACTGAATTCTGCCGACAACCTGAAGGAGCGTGGAAGCAGATTCTCCCCTACTGTCTCCAGAAAAGAACACAGCCCTGCTGATGCCTTGATTTAACCTGGTGAGACTCATGCCAGACTTCTGACCGACAGAGCTGTGATAATAAACTTCTGTTGTTTTAAGCCACTAAATTTGTGTTAGTTTGTTATGGCAACAAGAGAAAACTAATACACCCTGTAAGGGGTGGAGGGTGAGAAGTGAGCTCTTTTTCTTACCCAATTCCTTCTTGTCCCACTCCAATTTTTCTCATCAGGAGCATAAGTCAGACTTTGCAGATAAGCTATGCACATTGCATTGTAAGTACTTAATTGATAAGGGGTTGACTTTTGTTTATGGTGGGTGCTAGGGATCCAATTTAATATCCAACTGATATTAAACAATGTGAATACTTTTTATAGTTTAAAGTAATTTGTAGATTGGGGGGTTTTCTCTTTAATC